TAAATAGTTATTAAGATGATTAAGAGGCTATGTTTTTGAGTTGAGTCCTCTCCCATGGGAAAAGCACCTTTATATACTTCTTTGGATGGTTTTTGTGAATCTTTATAAAGATTTTTTTTGGGTTTATGTATTAGAAGTCTGTTCTTGGAAAGTGAATAAAAGAAAAAAAAATGTTATAATGAGACCTAATCCAAGGATTCTTTACCTGGAGAGAAGTAAATTTTATTTTTCTATTGTTTTTGTGAATACTCAGAAAGTATATGCTGAACCTCTTTACTACATTCTTGTTCTGTGGATCAGAATGGCTGTTAATGCAGCTGCTGGGGACAAAAGACTTTAGCGCTGCTCTCTATGGGGTCTGTAACTAGATCCCTGGTCAGCAGTGCTTTTAACCCGTAAATGATCTGACCTAGATGCCAAACGCAGACTCCCTTATGATCTGATAGTAACATGGGCATCTGCGGCTAAAACTCACTTTTAAAGCACCCACCCAGGTGCTACAAGAAAATGTAGAAAATATGGGAGGACACAAGCTGCCACCGCAGGTTGCAGAGACAAAGCAAGCTGCTACTCGCCCTAGGATCCTGACCAGGCGGGGGAATGCAGACAAAACCAAAAGAAATCCAACTGGCTAGGAAAACTAAGGGAACCTTTGCTGTGGACAATGGACAGCAGATTCCATGGTGTTTCCTTCACCATGGTAACTGCCACGCCTATCCAGGGAGTGGGCTTCCTGGTCCCGCCTCCGGCATTTTCTCCGGATTCCCATTGGTTCTTCCACAGTCACTCAGACAAGACTTCTGGTCCCGCCTTCCTAACCTGTACTTCCTGTTTCAGACCTACTACTAGAGCTGCTCAAAGCCTGCGTTTTTAAAGAATGCTCACCTGTAAATGCCATCGAAAGATATCCTTTTTCAGGCAAAATCTAATTCCACAGGTTTATACATTGTAGCCCTAAATTTAAGTTAGTTTTGAGTTAAATAACCCAACTTTTCTCTATAGTTGTGTTACTAAATAATGTTCTATTGATGAGACATACTAAACATGCTTCTTTATATTTTGCTTTTAAGTTTGGAGGTTATGGGGATGTATTTGCTTGCCATAGGAACAAAAGCTGGCAATATTCCTGTGATGAACAAAAAATCCTTATTCTCATTCCTGAGTATATAATTATAAGAAAGAAATACACAAGGATCTTATTTCAGCTACATCACTTGACATCACATATAAGAGTGCACTCCTAGTTATAAATAAATTGAAATGGATCCAAATATCTAAGAACCACATGGTTATATAAAGTTAATACAATTATGATATGCCCTTATTCTTCATATATATATATATATATATATATATATATATATTTGGTATTTCGATAACCTATAGTTGTTAATCCATACAATAATTAACATATGTCTAATTGTTTAGTTAATATATATTTGTTTAATTGTTTTTCTTCAACAGGAAACCCATAATTTATATGTTTTATACATTCATTTATCTGATGCTGAAGCCAGATTTAAAGTTAGGTAGTCAGTGTAGTTACATAAATCGGGTCTAATATCGAGTGAAATCTAAAATGGAGACCATGCGGAGAATGACTCAGGGAAAACACAGGACAACTCATGGAATGTTAATGAAGTCCCAAAAAGGCCCTAGGCCAAAGTCCACCTCAAAGAAATGTTAATGTACAGCCCCCAGCAAAAAGGTGCTGACTCAAGTCCTTCCTGACCAGATTACTTCTTTGGCCCACCTGTGTCCCACCCCTCGGGCCTTCCCACCTACATTCCATCACTGAAAGAACTATAAAAAGGGAAGACAACATCCCTTCCACGGATTCCACCTCTTGGGTCCCCTTCTTCCTCTGGGAGAAGTCTTTTCTGCTGTCCTTTAATAAACTTCTAATTTCTACTCTGACCTTGCCTCGGCGTGCTTCTTTGGTGTTATTCTTCAACATTGGGGAAGCAAGGACTCGTCACCGGTCAACAGCGGTAACAATGCTGTCTTTTAGTTACAGATATTGAGATAAATGTATTTTCCTATAAATTTGCTTTCAAGAGAATACAACATTCAAATAATTTCTAATTCTCAAAGTTATTGTACAAACTTTAAGATGATAAAAAGATATAATTACATCTAAGGACTTTAACTATATTTTCATTGATATTTCCTCTTATTAAAGTACAATAATTTGTTTAGATTCTAAGGTTTTCAGAAATTTTTCCAAATTATAACCATGAAAAATCTTAGAAGAAAAAGATGCTTCAACAGAGAGGAAGCACACATTGGAGGTCCTAAAAAGAAGAAATAAATAATCTTTGGGTAAACTAAGGTCTTTATATTCTAGATTTTAATGATAAAAGTATATTGCTAAATAGAAAGATCTTTATATCATTACCTAAACAGATGATATAGAAAGTTAAAACAATTAACAAAGAGATTTATATGTACCAGATTAACTATAAAATTTTTAACTGATTAATTCAAGGATATTTCAGGCTATTTTCCTAATTTTACTATACTGATGTGAGCTAAGATTTTGTCCATATTTTGACATGATAAAGACTTATTAAAATCTTGAGTTTATTTCCTTAAAGGAAGATCTTTATTGCCTAATGATTCTTACTGTTTAAGGCAAGGATTAATTTTGGTGAATAAATTCATATCCTCGATTAAACACTAAATATATTAAACTACTGACTTAGATCCCAATTTTGACAATTGTCCTTGGAGACTAAATTTGATTGATTCAAAGACACTGTTGGATAATTATGAGATTTTCGAGAATAGTTTATTAGGACTCTAAATTAAAGTCTTATGTTAATTTTGAACAATAAATGTTACAAACTTCAAAAACTCATTGATAACTGGACCTATTATCCATAAAAAAATATGGTAAGATTTATATATTGCTTCCTACACTGGGAAATAACCTTAATCATACTTTTAAAAAGACAATTAAGAGATACCTATTTAAAGGATAATATTCTAAAATATTTTAAGACCTCAAGAAGATATCAAGAGTTCTTTTAAAATTGTTAGAATAGATCAACTAATCTATATTTAAAAATATAATAATCAATAAAAGGTAAATATTCTTATCATTTAAATACTTGTACTATTATCTATAACTTAAACTGATGATACTGTGGCTTATGCCAAGCTTTTACTCAATTTTATTAAATAAAGAAAAGGGGGAAAATAGGACCCCAGAGACCCACACTAGGTCTTACAAAATATTTTAAAATTTTTTCTTAAATTATAATATTGAGAGTCTTAATGTTATAGAACACGATTCAGTAAATTAAATCAGATTTCAAAGGAGAATTTAAACCAGTTATTATGATAATGATTGAGAAATCTAGAACAAGAAGGTAAATTTCCAGCTACAGAGTTTATAGCCATGTAGCTTCACAAGCTTGTCAGGTAAGTAAAAATTATGAAAAGACTTGTATGGACCCATTTCCCAGGTCCACCTTTAATGTACGTTACAGAAAGTCCACCCATGAAACTAGATTAATTGTACTGACTGTAATGGTCAGTTATATGTTGATCCTGTGGGAAACAGGCTGACTAGGAGTATCTTTTGAGAAAAAGACAATGTATGAGAAACCTAAACCAGCCAATTATGCTGGTCTTTAGTGATTAAGACTATATCTGGACAATTGTAAGAAAGATTATTAAAATAGACTTTTTCAAGAGTATTTACATTACTGATAGACCTAATTAATTCCTCAAATGTGACAATTAAGAGAAAGGATAATAAATATCCTGTAGCTTATAAAAATACAACTAATTATATCATTAGTTATTGACAGCTAATATTTCAGAGCTATAATATGCTGAAGTTAATGTTCAGGCTTTGAAACAGGTGCATGCCAATTAACCAGACCTAGGCAAGCTGCTGGTCTCATGATCCCTGAAGTGACTACTTTAAATATTATTCCTTGCTTTTTCAATTACAGTTTTTTTGGCTATATCTTAAAACTTAAAATGTATGGATTTTCTTAATGTTTGACTTAAATTACTTCAAGATCCTTCATAGATAAGTGCTGATAGAAGGATGAGAACTGGATTATAATGCTCTAACAGACAATGTAATAAATAATGTGAATGAGTCCTCTGCTCTATGGTTTATGGAGAGGCTTAAATGCCAATGAAAGTGTTTATGTTACTGTGGCTAAATGCAATGCCTCCCAATAAAATTGGGAAAAAATTAAGAATCTTCTGATGAGTGTTTGGTGAAGTAATAATAATAACCTGGATCTTCCAAGTTGATTGTGTTATTAAAATGATATGTTTTCTACTAATTCCTTTTGTGTTTCAATAGCAGATCATGATGACCTCGAACCAAGAATCCAGTGATGAAAGATAGAATTCCCCAGTTACTTTTTTATATTAAGAAAGGGGGAATATGTGGGAGGCTGCCATGTCATGTGACCAGTGTTTTTCCTCTCTTGATTGGTTGAGGCATTGTCGGTCACTTCCAGTGGTCTGGCCACTTTTAAGTAACTGAAGACGGTAGCCCCAATCTTGAGGGTAGAAATAATGCAACCAAATGTGTCTTCATGCATAGGCGTGCCTTCCTGCAGTCCCATGGGGTAGAATGTTCCATGGGAACTCCCTTTGTGTGTCCCCTTCACTTACTCTGCCCTTGGGTGTGGCCTTCCTAGATGTCAGACATCATGAAGCTACACTCAGCCCCCTGAAACCTGACCCCTTGCCTCATTTGAATGGTTTCTCCTCAATAAAAGGGGTCAGCATGTGCTCCCTCACTCTCTTTCTGTGGACCCTTAAGGTCAGAGGAGCTGTCATAGTACCCCCAAAGAAAAAGGTATTTCTGTCTCTTGTGTGGTTATTTCGTGTAGCCCAGTTAGCCCAGTTCCCCTGGAGTGAGCCCTGAGTGTTTTAGTCGTGAGCAATGTGACAATTTTGATTTTTCCAGCCACTCAATCAGGACATGGCTCCAGAGAGCTGATTTGTCCCCCCATCATGAACACTTAAGTGCTCCCCAGCCAACAGCCCTGTCTGTGTACCTGGTAGAGGCCAAACAGATTATGTTCCAGATGCTGGAAGAAGCCAGTCGTGGTGCGGTACCTCAGCAGAGAGCTGTTCCGCCAGTTCTCCATGGGACTCTTGTTGGGCACATGCCAAATGCCCAGGTCCACAGCCTGGATGTCATAGTAGCCAGGGTTCTGGAAAGCAACCAACACTGACACTGACCATCTCAGAAGGTCCCACAGGGGCAAAAGACACACACACATGGGCTCCCTCAGCTAAGCTGACAGCTCTGGGCTCCAGGGGGACAGATGGCCAGCCATGCTCACACATACCCACCTCCAGCAGATCATGCCCCCACCACCACCCTGCTGCCTAATGGCCCTGTGGGAGGAAGCTAGGATGCGAGGCATGTGACTATTTCTCTCTTCTGCTCCAGCCCCATGTCTGCAGCCCCCCTCCCAACTTCCCTCCTGCATGCTGTGGCGCAGCCACACTCAGGTCCTCACCCTTTCCCAGTGGCACCCACCTTGTAGTCGTCACTGGTGGCCGCCTCTGCAGACCCGAAGGTGTTGTAATTGGCCCAGTTGCCATCCCCCTCTGGGTAGTCTGCTCTGTTGCCCTGCTGGCTGGACCACCGATCGCCCACCGTGCACTTCCCAGCCATGTTGTTCTCGTGCACACTGGCCACCAGGGTCCAGCCACCACCCGCAGAGGTCATGTCACAGAAGGTCTGGTAGACAGCACCATTCTTGGCCCGGAGGAAATACAGGCCATCTGTGGAGAGAACCAGCCCAGAGCCTCCCTGTCTGGGAGCTCATGCCATCTCAGTGCCATGACCAGGATAGCTCTGGGAACTAGAAACATGGCCTAAGGGCTCCTCTCCTGAGTCCTGTCACTAAGCATCCCTGGGTGTAGTGGAACACCCCCACGTTTGAATAACACAACCTACTGACTGAGGCAGAACACAGAATTATCCAAGCTCTCAGCAACGTTCCTCTCAGAATTAAGCACAGAATTTTCATATGACTCAGCAATTCCACTTCTAGTACATGCCCAAAGGAATTAAAAATTTGTCTCACAACAGGTATTTGTACACTAATATTTATTGTACATTAGTCACAAGACTCATAGAAACAACCCAAGTATTCCACAGATAAATAAAATATTGGGTGTATATACACGCACATCATATACAATCTATATTGTGCATATATTGACATGTATCTATAAACAATTGATAAAATGAAGTAATTATTCATGCTACAAGTATAAACCTTGAAAACATTATGCTAATTGAGATAGACCAGATGTAAAATAAGCCAACTACCTTATGATTCTACTCATATGAGGTAACTAGAATAGGCAAATTCACAGAGATAGAGAATACAACAGCAGTTACCTGGTTCTAGGAAAAGGCAAAATACAGATTCATTACTTAATAGATAGAGTATCCGTTTGAGGTAATGAAAATTTTCTTCAGGCGGATGGTGGTGATGAGTGCATAGCATTGACAAAAGTAATTCCTGCCACTAAAATGTACACTTAAAACTGCTTAAAATGACAAAGCTCATCCAATATATAATATATACATTTTGTCACAAAAATATCCAGTTTGGTGCAGTGACACATTCCTGTAATCCCAATAACTCAGGAGGCTGAGGCAGAACGATCACAAGTTTGAGATCAGCCTCAGAAACTTAGAGAGACCTTGTCTCAAAAAAGTAGGCCAATGGTCAAGGGCAGGCCTTGGGATGTAGCTCAATGGTAAAGTGCCCAGGTTCAATCCCCAGTACCAATTTTTTTTTTTCCATAAGCTAAAACCAAACAAATAGACCAAATAAATATATAAATAAAAAACTTCCCAGAGGACAAAATCCTGATAGGGCTCCATACTTACCATGTGCATTAAAGCATTTCTCTTTGATTTCTTTGCAGCTTCTAGGCAGAGATGCATACAATGATGACCAGGTCCATTCCTCGGAAACAACATTGCTCACAGCTAGAGAATATGCAGAGTTTCACTCTCTTTGCTGCTTTGACACAAAACCCAGCCTTCCCTTACCACTATTCCCCAACTCACTCCACCTCTGTGGCAGAGCTTCGCTGCCTGGGTTGAAAGACCCTGAGCTATCCAGCATCATCCACCAGCCCATCTGAGCCAGCATCCAGCACAGGTTTACCTCCCTCCCTCCACACGACCTCGTGCTGGGCCACGCCCTGCCCTGGGCACCGGGCATTCAAAGAAATTCAACATCCCCAGGAACTTACCTCTAGAGGGAGTTGCCAAAACCAACAGAAAATTCTATTAAAAGGAATGAAGGATAAGCTCAGGAGAACAAGAGAAAGGCTCTGAGATGAGAATAGAGAAGTCTGAAGGGAGCCAGGGGGTGGTCTGGGGTAGGATGACTTAGTGACAGAGGCTTTCTAGTTCTGGTGACACTACAGTGTACTCTGAGAGAATAGACATGATTCATCAGTTGGAAGAAAGAAAAGAGAATTCAAGGCAGGAGAAAAACATGTCCAAAGACCTGGAGAAAAGAATGAAGCAAAGCCCGGCTTGAGGAGGAAATACAGGTAGCTTAATGTGGTTGAGGCAGAGGGTGAGGTTGGCAGAGCTGAGACTCTAGCCAGGAGACCAGCAGGGGCACAGAATGAAGAACCTTGTACACGAGTGTCAACTCTGCAAACCAGTCTAAAAGTCTGGAGGGCTGGAAGCATCACAAGCTTTCAAGTCAGAGGGATTCAGGCCTAAGTAGCTCAGGCTTCCAGGGGAGAGTCCTTGGGTTCTACTTGCCACACCTGAGCCTCAGTTTCCTTCTGCCTAAGATGAAGCTAATTACTAGTATTTTTGTAAAGATCAAGTGAGAAAATATGCTTTCCTCAGCCAGGAACGGTGGTAAACACCTGTGATCCCAGTGACTTAGGATGCTGAGGCAGGAGGATCACAAATTCAAGGCCAGCCTAGGTGACTTAGTGAGACCCTATCTCAAAATAAAAATTAATTAAACTTGCTGGTGATGTGGCTCAGTGGTAGAGTTCCCCTGGGCTCAATCCCCAGTACTCTGGAAAGAAACAGGTGTTTATCTTTAAAAGATAGATAAATTAATTAATTTTAAAAATACAGATTGTAAAATGCCATTGCTCTTCTTATTATAGAGAGGAGTATGAAGAGAACATTCTCTGGGCACAGAGCATGTCACACAATTGCCATGGAAATCCCAAGGTCAATGCAGGCCATCATAGTGGAAAATGGCAAGGAGAGGCCACACTTCTTACAAGGGTCCCCTCAGGACCACACAGAGACAAAGAACCAGACCCAGGATATGTCTTAGCAATACTCTCACTGCTAGAGACCAGATCCCTCCAGAGGTCAGAAATCAGCAACAAGGTGGCCTGTGTGCATCTCAAAGACGTCATCTCTGGCTCAGGAGAGTCCCCTACCTGGAAGCAACCCTGCCTACTGTGTTTTCTTTGAAAGCTGTGTGCAGGTGAGGTGGGGGACTGGACCCCTGATAGGGAGACTCACCAGCACTGCATCCTCTGATGGCCACAATGAGAAACAGAAGGAAGTAGAGTTGGATCATTGTAGTCTAAAAAAAAAACCAAGATGAAAGTCACTGTCTTGATTATATTTTTTTTCTTTATCCCTGTCCCCACTCGTGTCTAATCCTACAAAGACTCAAAGTGCTCTCTTCTTCCCCCACCCCCTTCCTCCCTCCCTCTCTCTCCACACGTCTCTGGGAACTAAACCAGACCTGAGCTGAAATAAAGACTCTTTAAACTCACAGAAAGCAAACCCCTTCTCCAACACAGGTCCAGGAGCTGAAGTTGCCAGCTGAGTGGAGACTGGATCTTTCTCTGCAGAGGCTCCTAATAAGAGGTAAGAGCTGAGCCCTTTATGGAGAAAGCCTAGGGGCAGAGTCCAGGTCTCCAGACTCACCCTCCCCTGGCATGATGCCTAAGGAGGTGAAGTCTCTGGTTATGATAGGAAAGATAAACAGTGACAATTCATGGAATTAGCAGGAAAAATATTAGAGGTCAACTACTAGCATTGTTCCTAGATTTCTAAATTTCATAGACATGTGTATTTTCAAAAAAATAAAAATAAATGAGACTATCAAGAGTTGAGGATGATTTTGGGTTTTTCTTTGTGCCTTTCTTTCCTGATAAGTAAAACCTTTTTCTAAAATTAAATATTTACTATCATCATCATTTTATAGAACAAGGAAACTTTAACAACAAAATAGGGAAGGTACCACTTCAGGATCAGTAGAAGCCTTTACCTTGAAGAAATGTCATTCCATACAAAGTTTTGCTATTTTGTCCTTAATTTCCTCATTTTGTCACAAACTATTGAAACTTTACTACCACTGCATGTGGGATTAAGTCAGTAAAAAGCCTCTTTGATGCTTCAAAGCTCCTATATCATTCCTGTTCCAATGTTATCCAAATCCCATCAGCTTATAATAGAAGTGATTGGCTCCTCCTCACTGACACCAAATCCCTAATTCATTACAGTACTGAAAACTTTGCAGCCCATAGGAAAAGATTGTTAACCTCTCTTTAATTAAGCTAATATTTTTATCTTTGTAGGTTCAAAGTTCAGATTTGTACAAAATAATCAGAGATATTGAGAGAATAAAATAAAACAGTGCCCATGAAGGAATGCCCACTTCTGCCCCTCTCCCCTCCTTGCACTGCCTGCAGTGGTACCAGCAATCTCCTGCTCAGCATTATCATGAGTCTCAGACCTCTCACGAAGTCCAAGGTCATCAAAAAGAGGAACAAGAAGCTCATTCAGCTCTAGTCAGGCTGATATGTCAAAAGTATAACCAATAGAAACCCAGGGATAGCCACAACTGTGTACAGAGAAGATTCGAGGGTCATAGCTTGATTCCCAACATTGGTTATGGGAGCAACAAGAAAGAAAAGCCCATGCTACTCAGTGGCTTCTGTAAGTTCCTGGTCCCCAATGTCAAGGAGCTGGAAATGCTGCTACTGAGCAACGAGTCTTATTGTGCTGAAATTTCTCACAGTATTTCCTCCAAGAACCTCAGAGCCATCGTGAAAAAAGAAACCCTACTGGCCCTCAGAGTCACCAGTTCCAATGCAGGGCTGCACAATGAAGAAAATGAATAGGAGACTCCTGTGTGTATTTCATTTGTACTTAAATAAACCCAGAAAAACTGCACACACACACACAGAGAGAAAATATATACTTCTTTTAGTTCTTTTTAAATTAATTCTGAGATGTATTTTTTTCATATTTTGACATCTTTAGTATACATTCCATCTTTATGGAGAAAGCATAGGGGCAGAGTCCAGGTCTCCTGATCACCTCCTGGCATCATGGAAGAGTCTACTACTGATTGATTGAATCAAAGAGTCTAGGAAAATGGTGGACCTGTCTGAGGGACATTATCCCTTCTAACCACCAACATTAAGTCAGTGACTGTGTCTCACTGATTGTACCTCCTACTTCCTCTGCAATTGGTTCCCCATGCCACCTCCTCCAAATCCCACTGCCCTTGACACTTGTTTAATTAAGGTCTAGATTATATAGGACACATTCAGTGATGATTAATAGAAACCCCATCTCAAAGTGGCTTAAACAAAAAGTAAATATATCACTTCAGGAAAAGAAATCTAGAATGAGGCTAGGATTTATGCTTAACTGACTCATTAGCTTCTGTCCACCAGGCTTCATCCTAAGACTGAGTTCAAGATGGCGACTGGTATTCCAGGCATTACCTACAAGCCAAGGGAGGAGGGCTCATCTTTTCCTGTGGCTCCTTTTCAGGAGAGAGCAAGATTTCTCCAGAGTCCCCCAGCTTCCTGTTCCTAATGTCTCATTGGCCTGAGATGGTCACATGTGGCACTAGTTCCATGGGGCTTCCTTTACCCACACTCAAACTGGTGCTCTAAACAACGCCAGCCTATTTTCTCACAGGACTGGAGACTAGAAGTTGAAGGTACACATGCCCAGCTCTAGTTCCTTCTGAGGTCTGATTCCTTCTGAGGCCTCTCTCCTTAGCTGTAGTAGCCACCTCTCTGTGTCTTTACATGGTCCAATCTCTGTGTGCAGTGCATTCCCGGTGTCTCTCTTTGTGTCCAAATTTTCTCATATAAGTATACCAGCCATATCAGATTAGAATCCATGCTAATTACCTCATTTTATCTTAATTGCCTCTTTGAAACCCTGTCTTCAAATGTCATCACATTCCTACTCAACATATGAAAGTGAGAACATGATTCATTCAGCCCAAACACACACCCATTCCTGAAGGAATCCCTGGCCAGGGGAATAGATCTATCCAGATTGCCCAAAACCATTCATCTAGGTTTGTGATTAACACTGGTGAGTCATATAAAAAGGCTTTCTCTGGCCTCTATTTCAAACCCAATTCTCTTCTGTCTCTAGTATTGGCCCCCTTTAATCCCTTCTCCACACTTGTACCATCGTGGATCCTTGTAAAACATGAACTATTTCTACAACCCCATTAAAAATATCCCTGTCCTCTTGCATTAGCTGGACAACCAAGGTCAAAATCCACACCATGGGAGTGTGTCAGTTACTTATTGCTACATAACAATCCACTCCACAATGAAGTGGCTTAAAACAACAGCAGCCATTTCTTTTGCTTATGCATCTGCAATTTGAGTGTGGCTTGTTTCTTTTGCACATCAGCTGAAACATCTTAGTGTCTTCTCTTATGTTCACTCACTTATAAATAGACTATCAGGTTGGGATTTTAGGGTTGAACTATTCAGACATCTGGAAGCAACAGTGAGCCCATAGCTGGTGGCCAGGGGGGTTGTATGGATCCTGGACACTTGCTCTCTCCAGTCTTTCTCTTCCCCACTTTGGGTCTTATTTGTATTTCAGCTCAACTTTCTTCATCACTGAATTTCCATATGCTGCAGAAAACAGGAATTGGAGGAGTTAAGAGGATAACTGCAGGACCAACAAGGACTATTTTAACATTGGCAATGACAAGTTGAGGGTAGAGGAGAAAAGTAGCAAGAGATAGCAATGGCAGCCACATGCACTTTCCACTTACAATACAACCTATGTTGGGGTGGAGAGGGGGCTAGTTTGAGGCTAGGTTGTATGCAGTGATGAGCTGAAAGTTATTGGGAGTTGAGGGAGTGCTGATAGGTATAGAAAAGAATTCGAGTATTTGCCTAAGTATGCCCAAGGCTCTGGGTTCAATATCCAGCACTGCAAAAACAAAGAAGATGGCTGTTTTAATAGAATATTTCTTTTGGTGAACTTAGATTCATCATCATAGGCCAGTGCATGTCAAAATAATTTAAAATGTACCTGAGACAGGAAATTGACAGTATGTGTGTGCACCAAGAGAGAAGCTCCACCCCACGTCACTCCAGCCCAGCATCTGTCTCTAGTGACAAGGTTATACTTTATTTAAAAACAAAGTAAGCTTTGCTACACACACACACACACACACACAGAGAGAGAGAGAGAGAGAGAGAGAGAGAGAGAGAGAGAGAGAGAGAAATATAGAACTTAATGAATTGCAAAAAAGCAAATACCTGTATCATTATCGTCCTGGTCAAGAAATAAAACTGTCAGTACCCCAGGAGCTTCCCATATGCTCCTTCCGGATAATAAACCTCTCTCTTCCCTCTTAAAATCACCATGTGCCCAACCTTTTGACAATCAGAGTCTGAGCCCTCGCCATACTGTGAAAGATATTATAGATTTAGAGCCAGGCATGGTAGCACACACCTTATGTAATCAAAACTACTGAGGTAGATAAGGCAGGAGGAATTCGAGGTGGAGGCTAATCTGGGCAACCTCATGAGACCCTGTCTGAAAAACTTAAAAAATTTTAAAGGAGCCAGGTTCAGTGACTCACACCTGTAATTCTAGCAGGAGGATTACAAATTAAAAGCCAGCCTCAGCAACTTAGTGAGGTGCTTAGCAACTTATTAAGACCCTGTCTGAAAAATAAAATATATAAAAAAAGGACTGGGTATTTGGCTCAGTAGTTAAGTGCTCCTGGATTCAATTCCTGATGAAAAAAAAAATTAAGGGCTTTTGGTTGTAGCTAAGTAGTAAAACTGCCCTGGGTTCAATTATAGATTTATAAAGTGTCTTGGTACCTAGTAGTGCAAGACCTCTTACCTGATCTTCAAAGCTGTCTTGAAGTTATTTTGTTTGTTTTTCAGTGATGGGATGGAACTCAGGGCCTCACAACATGCTAGGAAAGTGCTCTACCACTGAGCTACATCCCCAGTCCTTACATATAACTTTCTAAATCTACTTAAATCACACACACACACATACAACACAGAGAAATTTTGGGGATTTTTACATGAATTACATTGATTCTATAGATCATTTTGGAAAGAACTTATGCCTTTAAAGTATCAAATGTGGTGTATTTCATATTTATTTGGATTTTTATTGCTTTCTCATAATATCTATAAAAGTTCTCTATAAGGAATTTTGCATATCTTCTATTATATTTATTCCAATGTATCTTATGTTTTTGAAGTTATCCTTTTAAATTTCATTTTCTAATTGCTCAATGTTTATATACAGAAATACAACTGATTT